CGGTCATCCATGCAAAAGTTGCTGAAAAACTTTGAAGAAGGGGAGGCACTTATCCGTTGCGCAGGAAATGAAGCGGTTGAGGGCGACAACTCGACCAGTGAGTCTCTGAACTTCATTAACCATTCTCGGTGACTGCATTTCAATCAAGGTCTTGTTCTTTTCAGGGTTAGTTGCAATGCCCTGCTGACTGACCATGAAACCCAAGAACTTCCCAGATCCTACGCCGAAGGCGCACTTCTCCGAGTTGAGCTTCATTTGGTACTTCCGTAGGGTGGCGAAGGTCTCTTGTAGGTTGGTCAGATGGCTAGCGGAGAGTTTGCTCTTGACTAGCATGTCGTCGACATATACTTCCATGTTTCGACCGATCTGATGATGGAAAACGGCATTGACCAATCGTTGGTAGGTGGCCCCAGCATTTTTCAGTCCAAATGGCATCACTTGGTAATGGTAGGTGCCTCGGTCGGTAATGAAGGAGGTGTGTTCCCGATCAGATGGGTGCATCAGAATTTAGTTATACCCAGAGAAGGCATCCACGAAGCTGAGCATTTGGTGACCGGCCGTGGCGTCGACCAGCAGATCTATGCAGGAAAGAGGATAACTGTCTTTGGGGCAAGCTCAGTTGAGGTCTGAGTAGTCGACACAGAGTCACTATTTACCATTATTCTTGTGGACCAGGACCACGTTTGACAACCATCTAGGGTAGTCCACGTTTTTGATGAATTATGCCTCAAGGAGCTTGTCGACCTCTGCGGCAATGAGAGTATTGCGCTCCGGATGGAAAATGCGCTGCTTCTGGTGATAAGGTCGAAAATGGGGTTCAATGCTGAGGCGATGGGTTATGAATGAGGGGTCAATACCCAGCATGTCTAAGTGGGTCCAGGCGAATACATCGTTGTGCTCAATCAGGAGGGCAGTAAGGTCGGCCTTTGCTTGGGGGGACAGTTGGTTGTCGATTTTGGCGATTTTCACCGGGTTAGTGGAGTCGATGGGAACCTCAACGAGCCCCTCCACAAGCTCCCCTCTGACCAGCTCGTCCTCATCCCGGACGTCAAGTCCTTCAATGATCATGGCTTCCTTCAGCTTGACTTCTTTTAGTGAGGCGACATAGCATTCCCTGGCCACAGTCTACTCTCCCCTTACAGTCCAGACCCCCAGATCGGTGGAAAACTTAGCAGCAAGGTGATAAGTTGATGTGATAGCTTGGAAGGCATTTAGGGCAGTGCGGCCAAGGATGATGTTGTAGGTGGATGGGCAATCGACAACAAGGAAGGTGAGCAACTTTGTAATCTGCCGTGGGTACTCGCTGATTGTGATGGGAAGATCGATGGAGGTGACTCGGTCGCCAGTGAAACCGACCAAAGGGGTTTGGAGAGGAGACAGACTTTCCTCTCAATTTTGAGCTGGCGAAAGCAGTTGAGAAAGATGATGTCTAAAGAACTGCCGTTGTCGATGAGAACTCGTCTGACCTTGTAGTTGGAGAGGAGGGCAGAAATGACGAGAGGGTCATCATGAGGGTAGCAAATGCCTGTACAGTCGGCGTCCGTGAAGGTGATAGGCTCGGTCCACTGCTTAGGCTGTTTGGAGGGTCGATCAGCAGTGGCAACTGCTTTGTCTGAGCCCTACCTTATCTTCTTGAGTTCTGCCCTCTGAGCCAAGCGGGATGGTCCCCTACAAGCAAGGCCACATGAAATGACTCTGATTTTTCCAACAGGTGGGGGAGGGTTGCCTGGCGGCCGAGGTTACTGTGGAGGGCAATCATGGCCTTGGTTAGGTTGGGCTGGCTGCCCGAGAGGGGGTGCGCCGACGGTTGTTTCTGAGGGGCTCAGTTCTTTGCCTCTGCTGAGGGCGGGTGTCCGTAAACCGGCTAAGACGTCCCTAGCGTATGAGGGTCTCGACCTGATCTTTGAAGTTAACGCACTCATCGGTGTTATGGCCATGGTCCTGGTGAAAGCGGCAATACTTGGACTGGTCTTTCCTATTGGAAGGGGTTCGTGAAGGTTGGGGCCATTTAAGGGGGAAATCCCGCTGGATCTGATTGAGGACTTGTTCCATGGGGGAATTAAGGGGTGTGTACCGCTCGAACCGACCAGGCGGTCGGGCTGGTGCCGACCAGTCAACTCGGGGGGGTCGGTCGGTATAGTGTGGTGTTTGGCTATTAGACTGGGTGTTTCTGGGTTTTGAGTCCTTTCTTTTTTCTCTGGGGGTTGGGTTTTTGGTTATTGGATCTTGCTGGGCGGCTAGAGAATCCTCAGCATTCATGTATTTTTGGGCTTTAGAGAGTAGGGCTGCCATGGAGGTCGGGAGGTTTTTAGAGACGAAGAACAGGAAGTCGGACGACCACAGACCGGCCATGAAAGCAGTGAGGATGACCTTGTCATCATTTTCCGCTACTTGCAAGGCCTCGGTGTTAAAGCGGGTAACGAAACTGCATAGCGACTCCCCTTCGGTCTGTCGAATGTTAAGGAGTTGGGTTGCTGGGCGTCGCTGGCGCTGGGCTCCAATAAAATGGCTGAGGAATGAGTCACTGAGATGCTGGAAAGTGGAGACGGAGTCTACTGGTAACTGACTAAACCACAGCCGAGCTAACCCCTTCAGTGTCACGGGGAAAGCTCGACATATGATCTCATCAGGGAATGCATGGAGGATCATGAGGGTTCTGTAGGTCTCCATATGGTCGACTGGGTCCGTCGTACCGTCAAAAAAATCGATGGTAGGCAGCTTGAACTTGGGAGGTAGAGGTTTGTCCCGGATGGAGGCGACAAATGGTGAGTTTGCTGTGGTAGAGGGTTTATGCTGGATGTTCTGCATGACCCCTTGGAGTTGGAGCTTCATGGCTCGAAGTTCCGTGTCCCAAAGAGGGATGTGGTCACCTCCGGAGGGCAACGGGAGTTGGACGCTGCTGGCCTCTCCTTCAAGGATTGGTGCCGGGATCGATGGTTGTGGGCCTCGGGGTGTCAGGTTTATACCTAGGGAAGGGGGTTACAAGCCTTCTCTATTGGGTGGATTAGGTTGCAGGATAGTATGGCTCGGGGCTTGTTTGTAGTTGGAAGGAATATCCGGAGGTGGTGGAGGGGGCATAGGAAGGTTTCTTTGGAGTAGGGCATTAATCAGGGCTTAGTTTTGCTCGGCCATGCGGTTAATGCTGTTGGTAAGCTCGATGAAATATTGTGGTGGGTTGTTTGGATTGGGGGGGTCGGCTTAGTGGTCGGCAACATTTTGGTGAGAAGCCATGGATCTAGTCGTGACCATACACTTCGATGGGTAGCGAGAAAGGGTTTTTAGAACAGGGTCTCCAGCGACAGGGAACACAACTGGCGCGAGGAGCAAAGCTTTCCCACAGATGGCGCCAACTGATGATACAGTTATGATACAACGGGTTCCAGAGGGAATGGATCGGACTGGTCCACGCTTCTCCAACCGATATCTGAATGGCCAAGCCCACCTAAGAACCTGCACAAGAGTTCAACGGGGAACGGGGAGTCCCCCAGCGAACCCTTCGACGAGCAAGTTAGAGAGAGAGAAGTAGAATGTAGAGATATGAATGGGAGATAGAAAGCTTAACCTTCTTCTTGTCTTCAACGTCTGCTTATATCCTTTGGTAATCATTTCGCCGTCCTTTCCGACCTGCCACCTTGGCCGAAAGTCTATGCTGTAGGTTACCTTGTTCAGGGTGAGGGGGTGCTGTTCCGACGGAGAGGTGTTGTCGTAATAAATGCTGTGATGGGCTGCATTAATGGCGATGTGCAATGGCAATAACTTTGCAGATCTTTGTCTGCTAATGTGGCTTATCCTTTACCTGCCACGTGTTTGAATATCATTGGTTCTTCGTGCCATGTTGGCTTCCAGCTGTTCAGGATCTCATCAGTTGGGTTATGTGTTGGGCTCTAAGTGATGGGCTTGGGTTGTTCATAGTGGGCTATGACCTTTGTGGGCCTAACCACGTCATACTAGAATCAGTCTGGCAAATTACTCTTCTAGATAAATACATCCATATTATGTCTGTATGCAAAATTTGAAGAACGAATTGTAGTCAATTTTAATGAAAGAGGCTAGTTACTTTTTGATGATAATTTTGTTTATGATTTGTTTGGATGCTAAGAGAATACATGGCTGTGTTTGGTTGTGATTTTAAAATGTGATTCAACGTGATAGTTTGAATATGGTATTTGGATGGAGCTGTGAAATTAATTTTCCACAGCTCTGCAAAACGCTCTGTCTATTCTGTCAAAACCGAGCGCGTGTTTCAATTTTTTTTTCAAAACGGGACGTCCGGCCGGTCGTCCGGAATAGTGATTTTTTTTTTTTTTACAATTCTTTTTTTTGCAATTGATATAAAATCGAAAAAAACATTTTTCGAAAATTTTAAAATTTTTTATGTGCTTTAAAATAATTTTGAGTTGAATGAGTTATAAATTTTTGTATCAAATTTTAAATGTCACATCAACAATTCCCCACTCAAATCAAGACTATTTTCAAAACTATTTTCAAAACTCTTTACCAAACAAATTTTCTACACTCAAATCATAATTCCACAACACACAAACTCAAAATACAACTCATACTCTCAAATCACATTTACAAAACTCTACCAAACGCTACCCATAATTTTCTTAGATTGTGCTTTGGCAAGCGTTATATGACTGGTTTTAAAAAAAAAAAAAACAAACAAAACAAAAAAAAAAACAAACAAACAAATAAAATGAATCGGATCAGATTATGCATTGTCGGATTTTTGATAATTGGATTCGGATTAATTGTTAATCAGATCGGATTCTATCCAATCCGACCCAAATTTGACCCGTTTACAGGCCTACTTCCAAATGCATGGTTGTTCCCTGAGCACAATTATTATTTACTTCCAAAAATTTGTTCGGTGTATAGTGTTGTTCTGGGGGAAATGCAATACAAAGCATCAATTCTTATTCAAAACATGGTTGCCAATGGGAAAAAAAAAAAAATAATAATAATTATATATATGGTTCCCCATCTTGAATGTCAAAGCAGCCAACAGCAAAAATTAATTACCAAAAAATTACAATTTGGATCAGAGAAACAATAATCAACGCCATACATTTGGATCAGGAAAATTACATTCGTACACTTGTGAACATGTGACCAGCGTTTGTCATTATCGTAATGAGACCATACTAGCTAGATACACTTGACGAAGAAGAGAAACCTGATTTGTACAACAATACACTCAAAAGAATCAACATTAGGGAGAGAGAGAGAGAGAGAGAGAGAGAGAGAGCCTCACTCCGAATACACAACCAACCCATAACACCCCATGCATAATACACACCACACACAATCTCAGTCCAGTCATATATAAAAAATCAAACCAATTCTATTGAAAGCCTTTTGTCGGTTCCGGTTCATTCCAAATTTGAAGATCAAGACCATCATTGACTTCCTGGCTTTCTCTAGTGAACCCAGAAACTGAAACATCATTTTCGGCTCCATGAGACTTCTTTAGCTTTGCCACAAGAACCCACATGTTTGCAAGCTCATTTTCAAGATAAGCCTCTCTTTGTTTGGATTCCTCTACCTTCTTTTGTAGCTCGGCCTCTCTTTGATTCTTTTCTACTAGAGCAGCTTCATACGAAAGCTCTCTCTCCTGGCTCAAAGCTAGTTCCCTCTTGAAATCTGAGGTCAAACCGCCACCTTGATCCTGCTGCTGCCGCCTGACGTGACCATCTCTGCGGCCGTTCCTGATAGTGGAGGAGCTATTTCTACGCTGGCTTGGGGAGGAACTCTTTTGTGCCGTCAGCTCAGCAGATAGTCGCTCGTTATGGTTCATGAGTTTGGTAACTTCTTCTGACAACGCCTTGAGCTCAACAGCAGCAGCAGAGGCTAATCCTTTTGCATATGAACTCTCTTCTGCTAGTTTCTGGTTCCGAAGTTCTAGCTGCTCTTTTGCATCAGTTAGTTCAGCCACTTTATGTTTGAGTCTTTCAATTTCAGTTCCCTGATTACAAATAAAAGTTGATAGATTAAGATAACCAAAGCATACCCTTCCTTTCTTGTCAGGAATAAGATGGAAAAAAATTATGGACACATCATCAAAACCATTTATTTATCTAGTTCATTAATGTAAACATATAATGGCATCTCTGTAAACTAGCTGATTTTCAAGCCATAAGATTATGCATATAGAACCTTTTTTTTTTTTTTTTTTGATAAATTCAATTATGCATATAGAACTTTGCCAAACAATGGGTCCAATAAAGCCATGGGGCACCGCCAATTTACTAACTAGTTTATTAATGACTTATGTGGCATTGCCACTCAATGCTGTTTACAAGACCCTGCTCTCTTTCTTGTTTACAAGACCGTCCCTGTTGCGTCTTTCTTTCAATTTCCCGCTCCACAACATTTTCTGACTCTCAAAATGAAGGTTCCGTTTTTGTGTGGAAACAAAGCATTTATCCATGTTTCATGTCCTTACTTTGAGCCGCCCAAAGGACATGAGTCTTACAACTCCACCACTGCTCCCCTGTGAATTAGATGTCATAGCAAACATATCCGCAAAGACCTCCCTCAAAAGCCTTTTTTGTCCACACCAGGTGTCAAGCCAAAACTATATTTTGTGACCATCACCCACTAGTATGTAAGTCGGAAAAAAATCATCCCTTACCTTCATGATGCACTTCCAAATATCCACATCATGCAACCCCCTTATGCAACAAGTAGACCAATCACCCCAATCATAGACATAACTTGCCTGCTCCACAAAATTTCCCAAGAAAATCTCTATAAACATTCACCAATAAGGCCTTGTTGAAAAGCTCTAGTGTTCAAACACTAGAGCCCCCTCTCTTCTAAGGTAAACTAGCTTTACTTAAATTCCTCCCCAAGGCCCTGCCAAAAAAAATCTTTCATCATTTTCTCCAACTTCTTTGCCATTGAGAAAGGAATGGTGAAAATAAAACACATGTTGGCAGACTATTGCTTTTTATCGAAGTATGATCCCCTTTGAAAGATATTGCCTTTTCCAAGTTAGTTAGCCTCTTCTCAAACTTTTCCACCAAAATATCCCACACTTTTTTACTCTTGAGGGAAGAGCCCAGTGACAACCCCAGATAGGACCCTAGTAAGATGACTACCCCCGGCACCCCAAGTTAGCCGCCAAATCTCCACCTCGAAGTTCCCCCCAGCGGAATGATCTCTCTTCATAAAACTAAATCTCAGTCCATACAGCTTCAAAACAAAATATTATGCATCTTGGTACACTTAGTACTCCCTCATTCGCTCCAGAAAACATAGTAGTGTATCATCAATAAATAATAAATGATCAATTGATAACATCTCACCAACCATGCCTCCAACTTTAAAATTTAGTCAAATAGCAGGCACCAACCACTTTCTGAATGATACTACGAAGAAACCCATTACTATGAAGGGGAGATATAAAATTTCCCTGCCTCAAATTGTCAAAGAAACCTTTAGCAACCCCATTCACAATGATAGAAAACCTAACCATAAAGATGCAAAACCGGATCCACCAACACCAATTCTCCCTTTTCACAACCTTCGGTGCAAGAAGCAAGCAAATTGCGTGCTTAATATTACACGACCCACTCCACTGAAAAGATTGAGAACACCACTCCACACCTCTTACAAATTGACAATAAATTAAACGATGATTTACACTACCCCTCTCTTGCACATGCAAACCAATCCATCAAGAAATTGCCCTTACTCTCAAATTATCTTGGGTAAATTACACCGACTTCCCCTTAGTTTTGGAGAAAATACAGCAAGCCTAACAATTTTTGCATAATTACACCAACCTCTCTTTTAGTAAGTATAAAGGAAGTTTTATTGCAGATGATGTGAAACACAAGGATGGACAAGGAAAAATATACACTTCAGTGCAAAAGAGATGACGAAATTATTTTTCTATCAATATGACTTCCCAAATTATTGAGGAAAAAGGAAACTTTGAATTAAAACATTTAGGAGACCTAATGTAATTATGCCAAAAATGTGGAGTTTGTTGTATTTTCTCCAAACCTCAAGGAAGGTTAGTATAATTTACCCAAATTATTCTTCATCCAAATAGCTTCTCATGCTGCCATCCAAGCAAAGAAACGGGTGACCAACTATTCTCCAAAGATGAGTCCCAAAACTCCTCTGAACTCTCTAAATTAGATGTCATCGCAAACACATTCGAAAATGCCTTTGTCTACACCAGGTAGGGGTGAAATCGGTCCTGTTCGGTCAGTGATTGAGCAAAATTCTCGCCGAACCAAACCCCTTGGTTTTGTATATGGACGCACCGACACCAACCAAGAAAAGCTTTCAACTGTCCCGAACCATTGTATATTGGTACGGTCGGTTTCAATTCGGTTTATTCGCGGATGGTGTAAACCAAACAGAGAGGAGAAAATATTTGAAGACCCAAAAGGTCACTTTCCAAGGCAAAAGAGAAGGAGCATAGAAAAATGAGAACTCAAAATCGTAGATTTTTTAAACAGAACAATAAGGCCATGTTTGTTTGGGTGGACATGAGCTTGTAGAGAGAAATCACCACCCACGGAAAATAATCTATTCACTTTCCAGATCTGGTAAAGAAGATAAGCATCTCTGTCATGCAGCATGTACATGGATTGCTAGATGTTAGATCTGGTTGAGAGTGGTAAATCGAAGACATCAATGAGCCAAAGCTTTATGGACTTCGACGGTGATTACAAAAAGCCATTGGGGAGAGAGAGGAGCAATGTGTGAGGGATGATGGGGATATAAATGTTACACGTGTGGACGACTCACATTACTTCTAGGGTATGTGTGGATGGCTGGGATGTAAAATAACAAACGGTCCGGTTCGGTGGGTTTTGGTCTCTCATACAAGAAAACCGCAACCAAACTGAGTCCAAAAAAATTAATAAAATCAAAACCGCACAGACCGTTTTAAGGGAACAAACAGACCAAGAACTGTTTTTTTCGGCCGGTTTTGTTGGTCTGTTTGGTTGAGTCGGTTAAACTTTCACCGCTAATACCAGGTGTCATGCCAAAACTATATTCTGCGACTATCACCCACTCTAAAACATGTGAAAGGGAAAAAATCATTACTTACATTCATCATTCAACAAGGACTATTGAAATGATTTATAGGTTTCACTTTGGCTTTTAAAGAAATATAAACATTTTGGACAAATCAACAAAGATACTTAAACAAAAATGTATCATACTGCATGTAACTAATGACAGATTTTATGTGATTGCATAAGTTTCCTTCAACTAACCTGAGCTTGTAGAAGCAACCTTTCATTTGAATCTCTTAACACTTTACTCTCGTTGGCCATGCAATCTCCGTTAATGCTTTGTGCTTCTAAGTAACGTTGTGAATGCTCAATGATTGGATTGGAATTTTTCAGCTCTAGTGCATCAGAGAGCTGTTGTTTCAAGGACGCAATTGTTTCTTGCAGTCCTTCACATTCACAGATCTGAAAAAACAATATATTTGGTTACAACAGATTCTAAACCAGTAAAATCATGAAAACAAGTAAAAGTTCTATAGAAATTGAACAAGTCCTGTACGGCAGTACTTTTTGGTTGAGCTGCTCTTGAATTATTCGATTATCTGCAGCTTTAACCTGTAGAAAGAAATAATAATAAGTTGCTTCTGAGGAAGAGGGAAAAAAAAAAAAAAAAAACTTTATACATTGTAGGATGATCACTATCCGAGACTGAGGAGAATATTTTAGTTATTCCCTGCTTACTTTTGCTTTATACACATTATTCTAAATTGTAACTCATCACATCCTGTTTAGTCTCAACTATAAGTTAGAGCTGTTAGCATATTATATTATTATCTGAGCTTTTTGGTTTGTAATTATTCTATGCCCTCAGGGCTCGACTTGTAATTGTCTCATCTTGTAAACCCTAGTCTTCATTTATAAATAGGGGATGATATTCTATCAAACCCTAAGCTGGTTACTCAAGCTTCATGGTATTAGAGCAGAACCTCTAGGATTTCGGCTCACCCTTGTTGGTCGACCTTTGCACCAACGACTCTAGGGTTCGAAACTTACCTAGGTTGATCATCTGCTGAGATCTTCAGGTCGCCGTCGTCACTCAGTCGCCTTCCTCTCGTCGATCTCTGCTTCGTCTTCCTCACTCAATCGCCGTGGTCACTCAGTCGCCTTCCTCTGTCGCGATCGTCACGCAGCCGCCTCCCTCGGTTGATCTCCTCAGCTCATCGACCTCCTCAGTCTCAGCCCGTCGATCTCCTCCGCCAGTCGATCTTCCAGCAGTTCGTCGATCTCTCTCTGGTATACTCTCATCATTGTTTGGTATACTTATGTCGTGTATATAGACCGTACCAATACATATATAAATGAATAACTAAATAAATACAAAAAAAAAACAAAAAAACAAAAAAACAAAAAAAAAAAATGGCCTCTTAATTTTGTTATATAGTGGTCATTGTGCATGTTCTTTCATCACCACCTTCCGGGTTTGTGATTGCCACTAGTTTTGTTGCGGGTTCGGTAGTATAGTATCGATGGCAGATTCCACCAGTGTGTCCCCTACTTCTCAAACACCGAGGAGTGAGAGTCTCATTATACCTACTACCATGACTGAGAGCCCCAACCCTAGTCTGAAAATCACCACCTCTCTATTTAATGGTTAGAACTACCTAGCATGGTCTCAAAGTTTGACTATATTTTTGAAGAGCCGAGGGAAGATGGGGTATGTTGATGGCAGGATACAGGCACCTAGTACCACTGACTCAGGTTATGACCAATAGGAGATTACCAACTCTTTGATTATGGGTTGGCTTATTCATTCGATGGTTCCTGAAATTGGTGAGAGCTACTTGTCTATGGAGACTGCCCAGGATGTTTGGGATGCTGTAGCTGCCACCTATTCCCGCAATGGGAATTTCTCACAGGCATTTGAGTTGCACCGCTCTATTCAGAGCTCACTTCAGGGGGAGCAGACTGTTCTTCAGTATTTCACTTTCCTCACCAACGGCTGGAAACGCCTTGACCACCTGGAAGACTATAAGCCCGTTTGCCCTGCTGATTCTGTCGGGTACAAGAAGTTTATCGCACGGGAACGGGTCTTTAAATTTCTGGCAGGCCTAAATGTGGAGTATGATCCAGTTAGGGGTCGAATTTTGGGTATGGACACTCTTCCTTCACTTCAGGAGGCATTTGCCTATGTACAGAATAAGGAGAGTCGCCGGTCTGCTATGATGTCCCCTGTCTCTATTGACCGCTCAGCATTACTGTTTACTCCTCGAGATGGCCTCAGCCCGACTCCCATCCCTCCGTCTGCTGCCAAGGAGTCTGTATTCTGTGATTATTGCAAGAAGTCGCGGCATACTTATGAGACGTGTTGGAAGCTGCATAGGACTCCATCCGGGGGTTGAGGTGATCGGTCTGGTTCTCGAGGAGGTCGGTTCGGCCAGTCTAGAGGACGTGGTTTCTATTCCCGAGCTCATCAGTCTAGTGCCGTTGATACATTTGATTCTAATTCTGCTTCTGTTGGCCAAGCTTCTGATACTGAGCTGGAGGATGCTTTGCGCCAATTGTTGGACCGGCGGTCCTCTACTACTCTCAGTACAGCTTCCTCGTCCTTTGCCCGCTCAGGTAATTTAGCCTCTTCTCCTTGTGTTTTCCTGTGTCATAAGTCTTTGCCTTTGATTATTGATTCCGGTGCCTCCGATCATATGTCTGGCTCCTCTGATCTTTTCATTATCTATAAGCCCTCTTCAGGTCCGGACAAAGTTAGGATTGCAGATTGTACTGTTCCTTCCATTTCTGAAAAAGGTTTAGTCCAAGTCACTCCTACCATACATCTATCTTCTGTTCTCCATGTTCCCAATTTTTCTGTTAATCTGTTATCCTTGAGTCGTCTTATCCAGGATTTGAATTGTAGTGTGACGTTTTTCCCTGATCATTGTCTTTTTCAGGATCTTGTCACGAGGAGGACAATTGGCAGTGGTAGTGCAGAAAATGGTCTCTACTTCCTGGATCAACCGGACAAACTTGCTCATTCTTCCACCACGTCTTCTACTACCCCCGCTGATTTATGACTGTTTGGGCATCATTCTTTTTATTTACTTAAACATTTATTTCCATCTGGTTTCACAAATCATCATGTGACTGACTTTCTTTGTGAGTCTTGTCAACTTGGAAAACAACACAAAGCTTCTTTTGCTCCCAGTTTGAATAAAAGTTTAGTTCCTTTTTCATTAATACATTCTGATGTTTGGGATCCCTCTCGTGTTATGTCTGTCAAAGGTCATCGATGGTTTGTTACATTTATTAATGATTTTTCTCGTGCTACTTGGGTGTATCTCATGAAAGATAAGAGTGAGGTTTTTTCTGTTTTTCGCAATTTTCATAAGATGATTTGTACTCAGTTTGGGGCCACTGCCAAACTATTTCGTTTTGATAATGGCGGGGAATACATAGATTCTAGGTTAGGACAATATTTCTCTTTTCATGGCATTATCCATCAGACCTCTTGCACCAATACCCCTCAACAAAATGGGGTGGCGGAATGCAAGAATCGGCATCTTCTTGACATGGCTCGGTACATGTGTTTTTTTATGAGTGTGCCTCGGCCCTATTGGGGCGACTCTGTTCTCACCGCTGCCCATCTTATTAATCGTCTCCCTACTCAGGTCTTGCAAAAACAAGCTCCTCTTCACGTCCTCCTAAGTTCTCAGTCCTTGTTTTATATTCCTCCCAAAATTTTTGGTTGTGTCTGTTTTGTTCATAATCACTCTCCTTCTCGAGGTAAGTTGGACCCTCACTCCCTCAAGTGTGTTTTCCTTGGTTACTCTCCTACTCAAAAGGGGTATAAATGTTACCACCCTTCTTCTCGTAAGTGGTTTGTGTCCATGGATGTTACTTTCTTTGAGTCCCAATCCTATTTCTTGTCCTTTTCGGTGTCACCGTCCTCATTTCCAGGGGAGCCTTGGTGTGAAGTGAGTCCTGTGCTTCCTATGGTGGACCCAGTTGTTCTGACATCACCCTCTTCTACTGTGCTTCCTATGTTGGAACCAGTTGTTCTTGCACCACCCTCTTCTACTGGGACTATAGAACCCAATGTCACCAAGGATAAGGACGGGCATGTTTATGTCCGAGACATAGACAGACAACAAGTTAACTAGATACAAGGGACCACTTCTGCTTCTCCACTGCCATCTCCTGCTTCTGATGAGAGTTTAGGTAACTTTAAATCTCTTGAGTCCATTGATCTTGATGTTCCTATTGCCAAAAGAAAGGATGTGAGATCTTGTACTCAACATCCTATCTCACAGTTTGTGTCCTACACTCATTTTTCATCTTCATATAGAGCGTTTGTGTCCAATATTTCCTCTGTTAGCATTCCTAACCATTTTCAGGATGCTCTTGCTACCTCTGAGTGGAAACTAGCCATGATTGAGGAAATGAAAGTACTTAGGAAGAATGGCACTTGAGAATTGATTGAGTTACCTACAGGCAAACGACCTGTGGGATGTAAATGGGTATATACTGTGAAACACAAAGCAGATGGGTCTATTGAGCGTTACAAGGCAAGACTTGTGGCAAAAGGGTTTACTCAGACATATGGCATTGATTATCAAGAGACCTTCGCACCCGTGGCTAAGATGAATTCAGTCAGAGTACTTCTCTCTCTAGCAGCTAATCTAGATTGGCCGCTTTATCAGTTTGATGTCAAGAATGTCTTTCTCCATGGTGACCTCGAAGAAGAGGTATATATGGACATTCCTCCTGGTTTTGAGGATCATCAGACAGAAGGCAAAGTATGCAAGCTTCGGAAGTCATTATATGGTCTCAAACAGTCTCAAAGGGCTTGGTTTGAGAGATTCACTCAGGCTATGTTTAAATATGGCTTCAAACAGAGTCAGGCAGATCACACCTTGTTTGTGAAACATTCCTCACGTGGTAAGACTACAGCACTTATTGTTTATGTAGATGACATAGTTCTTACAGGCAATGATAGTGGGGAAATACCTTTGCTGAAGAAATATTTAGCTAATGAGTTTGAAATCAAAGACTTGGGAAGCTTGAAGTATTTTCTGGGAATTGAAGTTGCTCGCTCTAAGGATGGGATATTTATCTCACAGAGAAAATATGTGCTTGACCTACTGAAGGAAACTGGGATGCTTGGCTGCAAGGCATGTGCCACTCCACTGGAACCCAATCAGAAATTGGGGGATGATGAAGGAGGAGAAACTGTTGATAGGGGGAGCTATCAACGATTAGTGGGTAAGCTCATTTACCTATCTCACTCCCGTCCTGATATTGTTGTTGCTGTCAGTGTGGTTAGTCAGTTTATGCATGCTCCTCATCAGATTCACTTTGAGGCTGTCATGAGAATCTTGAGGTACTTGAAGTCAACTCCTGGCAAGGGTCTTTATTTTTCAAAGTATGATCATCTTCGTGTGAAAGCCTATACAGATGCTGACTGGGCTGGATCAGTAATTGATAGGAGATCGACTTCAGGGTATTGCACCTTTGTTGGAGGCAACCTAGTTACTTGGAGGAGTAAGAAACAGAATGTGGTTGCCAAGTCAAGTGCAGAAGCTGAGTTTAGAGCTATGGCACAAGGTGTGTGTAAACTTTTATGGATCAAGTTATTCTTGAGTGATCTAGGTATTGATCAGACAGACTCCATGCGGTTATACTGTGATAATAAGGCCGCCATTAACATCGCTCACAATCCAGTTCAACATGACAGGACAAAACATGTTGAGATTGATCGTCACTTCATTAAGGAGAAACTCACTAGTGGTACCATTTGTACCCCTTTTGTCCAGTTTGGTGAACAACTTGCTGACATTCTCACCAAGGGGGTTGGGAATAAACCATTTCATGACATATTAGGCAAGCTGGACATGAGAAATATCTTCGCACCAGCTTGAGGGAGAGTGTTAGCATATTATATTGTTATCTGAGCTTTTTGGTTTGTAATTATTCTATGCCGTCAGGGCTCGACTTGTAATTGTCTTATCTTGTAAACCCTAATCTTCATTTATAAATAGGGGATGATATTCTATCAAACCTTAAACTGGTTACTCAAGCTTCAAGAGCAACATTAGTAAAACAGGACATTCAGTTCAATTAATTGAATAATGAACATTCAGCCATCCAATGGAAAAAAAATAAAAAATAAAAAAATCATTCCAACACATTTTGCGCAGTATTTGAGATGAATCTAACAGTAATATTTAGAGTCTCATTTTAATGATTCCATTTGTTTTAAAAAAGCTAGCACTGTAGGAGAGATTTGCATCTCCATATCAAAAAAAGGAAAGAAACAAAAGACAAAATCATTTGGTTTCCAATTCAATTTCCAATTATGTCCATAAAATAATGATATTCACAAGTCATGATGACCGACATATAATCACCTCAAGCTCAAAAGACTTCTCATTCAGTTGTTCCATTAGTTCAGCTACAGACTGCAATTCAAAACTAAATTAGTTTAATAAATCTTCCTGGACAGCAGCATGGAGCAGCAATAGTTCTCAAATTAATTAATAATTAAGAAGCAAGCATCCTATGCAACTCAAGAACACAACTCACTTGTGATGCTTCTACATTATCCATTTTGCTGTGAGAATCATTAATGGAATCAGCAATTTGCTTTTCGAGCAAAGCTATTTGTTCATTCTTCGTTCTGATTTCATCATTCAACTTTCTTATTTCCACCTTAAATTCAAAAAGAATATTAGTTGAATTTTCAAGGCAATAAAGAGCAGTAGTAAACACAAATGATACAGAATCAAGATATTACATGAATATGCTGCTTTCTAGGGTTTCTTGCAACCTCCTCAGACAACCGCTTTAGAGCACTTGAATGAAGTGCCACCTCTCCAGACAATATCTTTTGCTGCTCTCTCAGAAGATCAATTTGATCAATTGTCTTTATACTAGTCTGGCATTGAATAAGACAAATGAGTTCTAAATCAGGCTATGCAAAACCATTCTTCTTGCCAAGTCTTCAATTATACAACTAAATTAAATACATCATAGAAGTTATCAAGATGACACTAGGAAGAATGGATTTGAATTTTAAATATTTAGTCAACATCTTAATGTGAATTTGCAATTCCAGCTTTGACTAAATGTAGTCAAATTTTAACAGAGACAGCGGGAGGAATATCAAAAGTGAACCTAACAAGATTCACTGACATAGAAAATTTATACTTCTTGGCAACTCCAATGTGCCTTACATAGAGAACCAGAAAGGGTAGGAATGAACAGTTAATCTTACTTCATAATATGTCCATTGGCTTGCACTTTAAGGAGATTGCAAACTCTACTCATTCAACTAAGCCTGTTACAACTACCTGGGCTCAACTAGATGCACATTGAGGACATTCTCCTGTACTTAAATAGCAAAAGTCTTAGGAAATAGGACGGGAGGGGCATATCCTTTGGGCAAGAGCAGCAAAAATAGGCTTCAAAAAATATAATCAACAGGCAAGCACCTGCTGAATTTATGCATTCCCAAGTTCAAGAACACAGTAAGAAGGAAATGAATACATATCCTATTATATAAAGTGTATGTCCCATTTCGTGGTAATGCTGCATGCTCTTTTCTTTCTCCCAGCTATGCCCTCCACATCCAACAACTGATGGACAGTTTTTCTCATTCATCAAACTGCCACAAAATGCTAAAGGTTGTCCTCATTAATCATATTGCCCTAAAATTTAAATGTAGAACTGCGAACGCATCCCGTTTGCACCCACTACTAGTGTGTATATATATAGTATTCTGAAAATCTTATAGCCAAACCTAGGCAACTACTGATGACTAAACAAAGGGACTCATGGTTCCAAAAGTATACAGGAAAGTTGCTCATCTGCCCCCTCCAAATGTTGACCCTCTCACCTCTCTCTCTCTCTCTCTCTCTCTCTCTGTGGGATACTTTCTTTTTCCTTTTTTGTTTTGAACATTTCAACAATATTTTCAGACATTAATCATGTCTTCAAAACTTTTAAAACCAATACCTGCAAAGGTTTTCAAGAACTTCACTATATAAAACCTAGCAGACGAGATGTATTTAATTCAGTTGTTTACAGTTTAAAAAGAGAAAACAACTATTGCATACCAAAGGAGTCTCTTGTCCCAAAAACTTATCATCAGGGCCTTCTCTATGCTGTCTGGCCTCTGATAAGAGATCCGCACGAGTGTTTTCCGTAAGTGGAGAATGTGAAAGCCTGGATTCCATTTGAAAATTAACACTTTCTGCTTGAGGAGTTGAAGGTGTACTAATAGACTTGACTCCACTTGATTTATCACTGTTGCTTGCCAAAGCCCCTGAACCACTATCTCGTTTCTGTTTAAAATGTAGAATTAATTAGAAAGTGAAGGGAAAAAAGAAGTTAACAGAAAAAATAATAACAAAGAAGAAAATACAGAACTAGGCATCTACCACTTTAACAGTACAGGAAAATTTTACTAGAACACACAACAATTACATGTGCTTGCAACCACACAGAAATCCAAATGAAGAAAAGCCAAGATTGAAATCATGAAATTGAAGCAAAGTAAAACAAAGATAAAGATTGAGGACTACTATAAAAGAAATGTAAACTTCATTTCTCAGAACTCCCAATAGTTTGGAAACCCATTTGAGACTATTACTGGTATAATTGGCCATCGAACATATACATTAACCACTTTGAGACTAGATTATAAAAGATTCATATTCTAATACCCGTAGCTTTAACCAGTTTAGCAACCCATGCTTCCGGGTTTTCTTCTCCTCCTTCAATGTATCATCAGCAGTTTCAGAATTCCCATCAAGGGAGACATACAAGTCAATGTTTTCATCATCCAAGATCAAGTCTCTCCTTCTGTGAGGAAGGTATGCAAGCTGCACATTCAACATAGGAAACTGCAATCAGATCATACTAAAATAGAATAGATATAGAGAAGGATAGAAGTCCAGCCGTTTAACAGAATCCATACCATTCGATTATGTTAGATAAGTTAATTTTTTTCCCCATTTCTTGTCAAACAACTTGATGGGTATTTTAGAGGTTTAAAAATAAAAAAAAAAAATAAAAAATTGGGATCACCCTATCAAAATACCTCCTCTTCTCCAAAGGAATGCCTTCTTCTAGGACCAAGGCGGTTAGGAACTCTTGATGATTGTGAAGTTTTTGTCGAGACCAAAATTAACTTTGTTAACCGTTGTATTCTCCCCAACAAGGCAGCTTTAGCTTCCTCTTCCTGTTCCAATCTTGATTGCAGCTTGACTTGACCATCTTCCAGCTTTAGACATCACAGTATACCAAACAAATTCGGTTAATTCATGCATGACAGCTGTTTATCCAAGATGTCTGAAGTAATCAGTAGTATACTTATACATGACTTTAAAAATACAAGACAGCATTATATATATATACATATATATATATATATGTAATAAATAAACATCAAGTACGTAGAAAGCTAAAAAAAATAGGCAGGCTGGAAATCAAATATTATCACAAGTCACAAGTCACAAGTCACAAATAAAAAGAGTTATTAAATAAATGAATAATTAAAGAGCAGTTACTAAACTAACTAAACAAAACATAGATGGGATAATAGGAGGGATGATTACCTCCAAAACAACTAACGAAGAAGCAAGATGAGTTGCCAGCAGAAGTGGTTTACTTAAGAGGGTAGACACGTGCTTTTTTTTTTCCCACTGTTTTAATCAGCGAGAAAATCACACATCTAGGTATTCTGATTCAGAGTTTAACATGACTATACAGAAGGAATGCAAAACAAAAACTAATAACGGATCTCATACAATGCAAGTGGTTTAGATTAAGTTAGATATAGAAAAGTTTATGGAAATCAAACTTTGTGTGGACGTGATTAAAGATTCTCTTTTTGTACCATTATAAAAGCTGTGAAACATGGGCATAACACATGTACATATACATAAGAGCCCAGAGCATATTTGCTTGAAGCGGGGTTCGGGACAGGAGCTGGGGGAGTATGGGCATATATAAGTTTCTAAGGTTAGGAGCACCTATGGGAGCATGTATATATTTTATATATAAATATATTCTAACAATTATATTTTCTGCTTAGTTATAATATGTTTTAAAATATGAATAAATGTTTGAGACTGATGTCAACTACAAATTGTCTTTGTCAAGAATAAATAAATATTATGTAAATAGAAAGTAGTTTTTCTTTTGTTTCTTTGAGATTTGAATAGTTAAGAGTTTCTACATCAGTTGGGAGTGAGTTTACAAGTTTCTTCCATGGGAGCGCAGACACGCGCTTTTGAGTAAGAAATGTCTCCCAAGTAGGAGTTTCCTGCTACGAAGGTGCAGAGAAGTGATGTAGAATGCTTTAGAGAAAAGAGGGCCACAACAACCCTAACACAAAACGACCTCTGAACACGATATATTAATCCAAGTTAAATAATACAAAGAAAGCCCCAACACTTACAGCGTAAAACCCCTAATCAAAATATGAAATCATATCCTATTATTATTTGGCAACTAAATCCTAACTAAAACTATAATTCAAAATAAATATTAAAAATATAATTACAAAATAAAAAAAGTCTCCATGCCAACGTAGAGTGCATATGATCCGCATCACTAAGCCACATCCAAGAAACTTAAATGAATCATAGACTCGACAAAAGAATCTACAAAAGAAATGATTGAAGAGGCGCTTAAAACTATAGTGATGTATATAAACCTATATTGACTAATTATTACGTGTCCTCAACAAAGCACAGAATAAAAACATTCTCCTCTTCACAACTTCCACTCCATGGAGATTCAATGCAAGGACCTGATTATTTTGTGCTTGCTTAAGAGGAAGCTAACTTGGGGAAGGATAATAATATCACACCTTTTATATTAATCAATCAAACTGTTACAAAGACAGAAAGACACTGATTAAAGAATTACAATATAATCTAAATAAGAAAACACAAATAATAAAATGATTCCAATCATATATTCTAACACTCTCCCTCAAACTGGTGCAAAGATGACTCTCATAACCAGCTTGCCAAGGATGTCATGAAATGGTTTACTCTCAACTCCCTTGATGAGGACATCTGCAAGTTGTTCACCAGACTTCACAAATAGAGTACATATTGTACCACTAGTGAGCTTCTCTTTGATGAAGTGATGATCAATCTCAACATGCTTTGTTCAGTCATGTTGAACCGGATTGTGAGCTATGTTAACAGCAGCTTATTATCACAATATAACCTCATGGAGTCCCTCCGGTCAATTCCCAGATCAAGCAATAACAACTTGATCCACAAGAACTCACACACGCCTTGTGCCATAGCTCTAAACTCAGCTTCTGCACTAGACCTGACAACTGCATTCTATTTCTTACTTCTCCAAGTAACTAAATTGCCTCCAACAGGTACAATACCCTGAGGTGAACCTCCTATCAGTCACAGAACCTGCCCAATCCGCGTACATATAAGCTTCCAAACTAAGATGATCATGTTTCGAAAAATAAAGACCTTTTCTAGGAGAAGATTTCAAGTATCTCAAAATTCTCATAACTGTGGCCAAGTGTATTTCATGAGGAACATGCATAAACTGGCTAACTACAGTAACAACAATAGCAATATCAGGACGAACATGGCATAAATAAATGAGTTTACCCACTAGTCTCTGATAACTCCCCCTATAAACAGTTGCTTCCCTATTATCATCACAAAATTTCTAATTAGGCTCCAGTGGCGTGTCACAGGCTACACTTCCAAGCACCTCTATTTCCTTCAACAGGTCAAGGACATATTTTCTATAAACCAAAACCAAAAACAAAACCAAAACCAAACCAAGCCTTAAGCCCCATCAAATGGAGTCGGCTACATGAATCCTTCTCCAAGGACAAAATTTATCTGACAGATGAAAATCACATCTTTGGACCTAGCCACTTCAATTCCCAGAAAATACTTCAGGTTCCCTGAGTCTTTGATTTCAAACTCACTTGCCAAATACTTCTTTAACAAAGGAATTTCTTCAACATCATCTCCTGTAAGCACTATGTCCTCCACCATGAGAGGAATGTTTAACAAACAAAGTATGATCAACCTGAATCTGTTTAAAGCCATATTTAAACATCACCTGAGTGAACCTCTCAAACCAAGCCCTAGGCGACTGTTTGAGGCTATATAATGACTCCCGAAGTCGACATACCTTTCCCTTGATTTGAAGAGTTTTAAAGGCAGGAGGAATGTCCATATATACCTCTTCTAAGTCACCATACAGAAAAGCATTCTTCACATTCAAATTGAGTGACATAAAGCAAAGGCAGAAAAATGATTGTGCTTTTGAATTCTTTTGAATTGGGAATCTTCGTCCTTACTCACAGGCCAATTTTGCTATTTATTCGGTACCAGAAAACATTTGCCGTGGAGAGGAATATGCTTTTGCAGTGTGATAGCTATTGTGGTGACGTTTTCTGGTACCTTGTTTCGTCCTCCTTTTCTGTCTCTTTTTGTTGTTGATTGTATTGGTATACAATGTTGTACTATTTAGAAGAGTATTCCGAGAATTACGGGCAGTTTACTCAAATGTGTGTAGATCGTTTTTTGACGTGGCAAATAGGACTGTGGGAAGAGAGTCGACGGTCAGTTCCGGTAAAGTTTGTTTGTGGGTACAAGGAGCAACAAGCAAAAATATCAAAGATAAGGTGTTTGAACAGAAGGGTTAACAGAGGTAACAAATCCTGTAGAAGTGTTCGAATAAAAGATTTGGAGTTTTTTTATAATAAAAAAAAAATAGTAAGCAACATCGGACTCCCCTTACATACCAGAGGTCAAGGACAACGATGGCCAGTGGATATAAACGTAGTTACCGTGGTCGTGGCCAATCCAGATTAACTGCCAGAGAGAGAAGTATTCTGACTGAATTCATCTTTGCAATTGGGGCAAATGTCTCTTGGTAATCCACCCCATGGGTCAGAGTGAAACCCTTTACCACAAGTCGAGCCTTATACTACTCAATTGAACCATCTTCCTTATGTTTCACAGTATATACCCATTTACATCTCATAATTCATTTGCCCCTAGGTAACTCAGTCAAATTAGGAAGTACTTTCATGTCCTCTACCATAGCCAGTTTCCACTTAAAAGTAGTAAGAGCATCCTGAAAATGATTAGGTGTACTAACAGAGGAAATTTTTGATACAGGATTTATATGAAGAGGACAAATGAGAATAAGATACAAAGTTAGAAATTGGATGATGAGTACAAGATCTCACACCTTTTTTTTCGACAATGGGTATATCAAGATCAGTAGGCTAGACTTAGAGGTTACAATATCAGGAGCTTTATCAAGAGAAGAAGACGACAGTGATTGATCAAAATTGGTCTCTTCTATCCAAGTAACTTTCTACCTTTCTTTATCCCTGACATAAACTTGCCCTTCTCTATTCTTGACAACATCAGATTTAGTATTGCTAGTATTAGGTACCATTGGAGGCAGTACTGAGTCGGGAATAATAGAAGCAATAGGACTCTCTTCACACCAAGGCTCCCCTTGAAGAGATGACGAGGACACTAGACTAGACAAGTAGGATTGAGACTGAAAGAATGTGACATTCATGGACACAAACCATTTACGAGAGGGAGGATGATAAAACTTGTACTCCTTTTGAGTAGGAGAGTAAACTAAGAACACACACTTGAGAGAACGAGGATCCAACTTATCCTGAGGAGAATGATTGTGAACAAAACATACACAGCCAAAGATTTTTGAAGGAATGAAAAACAGAGACTTAGAACATAAGAGAACCTGAAGAGGTGCCCTTTTTTATAAGACTTGGAAGGAAGACAGTAAATGAGATATGCTACAGTAAGAACAGCCTCGCCCCAATAGGACCGAGGGACACCCATAGAAAAACACATACAGCGAGTCATGTTTAGGAGATAACAATTCTTGCGCTCGACAATCCTATTTTGTTGATATAATGCAAGATGTTTTATGGATAATACCATGAGTGGAAAAATATTTGGCCAACCCAAAATCAATGTACTCAACTCCATTATCAGAACGCAAGACTTTGATAACCGCCCCAAATTGGGTACCATCGTATGGAAGTTTTGAAACATAGAGAAAACCTTAATCTTTTCTTTCATGAGATACAACTAAGTGGCACAAGAGCAGTCATCTATAAAAGTAACAAACCATCAATAACCCTTCATTGACAACACACCAGAGGGGCCCAAAACATCATAATGAATTAAAGAAAAAGGAACATATCTTTTATTATTACTAGGAGCAAAAGAAGCTCGGTATTGTTTGCCAACTTGGCAGGACTCACAATAAAACTCAGAGACTTTATTTTGGATAAACAAAGAAGGAAATAAATATATTTAAGTAATAAAAAAGATGGATGTCCTAGACGGCGATGCCACAACCATAAATCTTCCGTGGTGGATGGAGATTGGATGGAATGATGAACCAGTCGGTCAGTCTGATTTTGGATATAGAGACCATTTTCTGTTCTACTACTGTCAATCGTCTTCTTCGTGATAAGATCCTGAAAAAGACAAGAATCAGGAAAAAAGTTACGCTACAATTCAAATCCCGAGTAAGATGACTCAATGACGATAGATTAACAGAAAAATTAAGAACATGTAAAACAGAAGATAAAGGTAGGGAAGGGGTGGCACGGATTAAACCTTTCCCGAAAACCGAGGAAATA